CAAAAAACGCGCCGTATCCGCTTTCTGTCCCCCTAACTCAGTCGGATAACGAAAATTTCTTAAGGGGTTGTAGAAGCTTTTCGCTATCACACCGTGTTCATATAAATGCATAGTTGTTCAATATGCCACATGGCAATAGTCTCGTGGGCGAGGTCTGAATATTTTATTATTTCCTTTTCTGCTTTCACGGGGTTCTCGTCATGCGGAATGATGATATCAACCAACATAGCTCGACGCGCTGACTGATCTATTGTCAAAATATCAGGTTTATTGGCAACAATAGACTTATCCGTAATAATTTATAGGTCCCATTAGAGTGTAAAGTGACTATTTTCAGGAATTAGTTGAGAGTGGTATTTGTGATAAGGTATAGTAGAAATGTCCCTCTCTTTTCAATCGGTCCCTCATTGCTGAGGATCGTGACTCAGTTTGATTCCGTCAACTAGCTGTCTCCATCGATCCCGTTCTGTAGCTTGGTAGAGTGCGTCGCTGATAGGTATTTTTAGTTTCTCAGCCTTTGGTCCGCCCATCGTTTGGGACCTCTACCTCTAGGCCTTTTTCCTTCGATTTTACCGGTCACTACAAGGCGTTCCAAATAGCTGGTATCCCTGCGTGCAACTTGACCAAATATCAGAAATAACCAAACCATATTTCAAAGCAAGTTGTCTTGACCTCTTGACCACTTGGTTGTGTTTATTCAAGTATTCGCCATTAGCAAAACGAGAATAGCCAGAAACAATATGTCTAATGAATTCTTCCGGACGGTGGCGTATTAATATTAAAATTGGTCGCTTCTTATTTCTCCTTCTTGGAAGGGTGGGTAAAACACATGATTTAAAAAATATTTTATGCCATTGAAAAATCAGTAAGTAATGCTTGTACATAGTTCATGATGATACAGCGTGTACATGTGGTTTGTTATTTACTTCTCGCACTAGCGGAAAACTCTTACTCAGAATAAATAATTCAACCACACTATTTCATAATTACCTACTTATAGGTAATGTTTTGGTTGTGTACAATATAATTATAATAATATTATAATAAAGCCCGTTTATTTCCGATCCATAATAATATCGTTATTACATGCGATTTAATATATATTAGGGTAAAATTTCTTTCTTTTACTCGCTATCGTTACTTTCTTCTGTACTATTGATCGGAACCCCTTCTCGGGTTAAGACCTCCTCCAGCTTCTTCCAAACCACTTTGTCCCTGGCTTTCTTTTTTCAATCGTTTTCTGCTATCGCTTTTAAATCTTCTATCCACCTTTTTCTAGGGCGCCCTCTTCTTCTTTTTCCTCTTGGTTGGTCCTTTCCACATAGCTGTCTGTAATTTCCATCTTTTGTCTGTGCGTCTTGCTATATGTCCTGCCCACTGCCATTTCTGTTTTAAGGCGTACAATACAAAACAATATTATAATATTAACAAAAATGAGAAAACGACGCTAGGCACTAGACAATACTAATTCTATTAATATTACGATTTATGTTAAACTCAAATCGGCGCACGAATCTTGTTGACTGACGTCAGGTGACGCCTGCGCGTTCGGGAATTCCGATTGCGCCCGATGACACCCGAGTGTGACTTGATGTGCCAATGTTGCACGCTACATACACTTCGATTTCGATCCGGTGGTAGCCCCTTCTGGCTGAACCTTTGCTCGCCCACCTGTCCTGGTGAAACTGGAAAGGCCTTCGGGCCTCTAGTAATACTTCAAACATAAAAAAAACCGGTGGTAAATTCATTCGCGAAGCAGTTGCTCTTGTGTTGTTAAGTCTCCTTTGGAGTCGCTCGGGCAGCTGTTAGCAAATCTCGCTCGTTGATTCACAACTTGATTAAGACATGGTGGTAGGACCTCTTGTGATTCCGCACGGGTAGGTACCAGCACACTGCCATTTCCGCCGTGAAGTAGTAATGCTTTTCGGTTTAAAGGGCGGGGCAGCCGTTGTAACTTATACTGAGACCTTAGAACTTATATTTCAAAGTGGGTGGCGCATTTACGTCGTAGTTATCTATGGGCTAGTTGTCTATGTCTATCTATAGTAACCAGGTGGGCTGTGAGCTCGTCCACCCATCTAAGCCAACAAAAAAAAACAGATGAAAGCCTTAAATTTGTACTTATAATTCAAAGGTGTAATTTTATTTCTAACCTCATTAAGCAATTCTATGTATCTTCTAATACAAATTCGATGAGATATGTTATTTTGTGTATTTCTATATGTATATCGTTCATTTCTTTTTACTTCGAGAGGACTGTTGTGGGCAAAAAAGATGAAAGGAAAGGTGATACACAGTGAAGGGAGAAACATAATCCTGAAAAGGAAACAAAGGAAAATGATTACTGAGTAATTGGGATACAAATTTAAAAGTGTAAGATTGCCCGGATGGTCTTAATACAAAAACCCGATATCGCTATATTCTAATGTACCTATGTGTAATATATTGTTAAAAACAATAAATGTAAAGTAAAATCTAACAAACATTTTGTTTACATTTTTAAAGTCATAGCGATTCCTTTTTTCAGACCGTACCTAAGCGGCAGTGTGACGTAATCGATGCGAGGTGCAAACTTAGCTTGGTCGAACATATATGCTTTTATTTCTCTTGTCGGGAGATTGATTTCACGGTCATAAGCATGAGGAGCACAACGAGGAAGTAAAATAAAAAAATCGAGGCAAGATTAGTATTAAAAATGCGGACGAAATATTTTAGGCAGTTTATTAATTAATTTGCTAGTGATAATAAAATAAATAAAATCAAACCAGCATATGCAAGCATTAAATTTATTACATTTAAAATCTAACAGATATAGAAACAAAATATAAATTTTATTAAATTTACAAAAAAATAATCAAAAACACCTAAGGAATGATTCTTTAATAAAGTTTCAATGAAATGAAAAAGTTGTTTCGGAATGAATGAAATTACACAACTAAGAAAGGTACATATTAAGAGGAATATTGTTGACTAATCTACGAATTACAAATTTGATATTTGTTATTTTTAATAATATAATTTTGTGACCGATTCACCGATAAATTTTTCGATTTGTAGCAAAACTTTACGAATAATCTACAAATATACATAACATAACAATACATAAAAATGTATTTTAATTAGCGCACTATGTACTTATTAACTATTTTAATTTACTAATTTATCAAATGCATTAAAGTCTAAAAATCATGTGCAAGCGTGAATATATTTGTATTGAAGTTATATTGAAAAACGTGTGCTAAGTTCAAGATATTATGGTTTGTTCAAAATTGGTCACGTGACCCAAAAAGTTCTGCAAATGATCTAGCCACTTCTGACGTCACGTGTCAGAATTACTGTGACGTAGTTTTTAATATTTCGAAGTGTATTTATTGATGTTAGTATATTATGTCCAACGTGAAGAATTAATAAAAATTATTGAGGTAAGCTATTTTATTCAATTCTTGGAAACATTGTTTTGAGCACACTTTATAAATACATTTTAAGTTATTCATAACTGAATTAACAATTCTAAATAATAAATATTTTTGAAAATAAAGTGCATAAGATCGGTTCTATTGGAGCATAAGATTGGATTTATTATTGCAATAATCGCTTTTCTACACTAGAACAAAAGGTAATTAATCGTTAAGCACATTTTTTCAACGAAGTCTTATACCAAGAAGGAATATGTATTTATGTCTTATTTAGGCCTTAAACGACTTAATTGCAGCAAATTACGAATCTTATAGCATAATTACTTTTATAATATTATTTAGAATCTTACTTAAAAAGTTATTATATAATTCGATAATAATAAAACGACAATAAAAAGATTAGATCGTGAAAATAGTTTCGTGTTTACGACTTGGGAAAAAAAGACAGAATATAGGTTGGTATTAAAAAAAATATATATATATATATATATATATATGATATATAGCTTCATATGATCGAAACACGTTTATCTAAATAAGTAAATTGCCTGAACGAGGACTATAATAATTTATGTATATAGAAAGTTACACTTTTTTCTCTCATATTTATTCCTTTTTGAATTAATCAAGGAATGTTCCCATTGGAATGTTATGGTCCATTAGTTAGTTATATAATGTTTAATATAAATACAATCTGTGACGTATCGAATAGATTCACAGATATTTATGTGTTTAATACGATAAGTCAATTGTTTTAACAATTAAGAACCTTATTCGTATACACATAAGGCGTTTAAAGGAAATAATATATAATAATGTTTTTATTCGACACGAGAATCAACGTGCCATACAATATTTGTGCGAGTTAACGGAACTAGGAACAAATGAAAAATTTATTCGTTAAAAATCAGGAATTCGTTTTTTTATAGGACGAATACATACTTGTGTAATTATGACTACCTTTGAGGTTTAATTTCGTGTTTTTATTTTTTTATTGTCAATACATTATTAGCAAAGTTTCAAATACATTTAAAAATAAACCTTAAAGAGAAATATTTTTTTTTTTGAAAAATAGACGGTAGTAGTTGGCACAATATCGAGATGTCGACGAATGAAAGATCATAATTGTACGTTACCACGAAAACTCGAATAATATTCGAAACATCAGTAATAATGAAATCGAAATAAATAAATCGAAAAAAGAAATCGAGATTAAACCGTAAAAGGAGTTTTCATTATGCATTCAAGGATTCACGAAAACCGAAGAAAATACTATGATAATTGTGTCTTGTGAATTATCAGGGTAGAAATGAAACCTTCAGAAGTATTCAATCGCAGGCCAAATCTTATAGATATACTAGCTGTATCCGTCCGCTTCGCTGGGCATTTAAAATTAACATTATTATATTATTTCTCACCGCCCCCCCCCCCTCCCCCACAAATATTCTCATCATTAATGCCCCCGCAACTGGTGTAGGGAATCCAACACTCATATAAACATTAGCCTATCCATTAAGTACATGCATTTTCTACATGGATACCGAGTTTCAAGTCAATCGGATGCATAGTTCAGTAGGAACATCTGTAAAAAACCACTGTAGATTTATATATTAGTATAGATATCTTTTTTAAGTCTAAACGATGCTAAACTAGTTTTTCATTAAAATGTTCGCGGCTGACTATGTACAGTTTGAAGCACGTTGCTGTCGCCATGCTGAATGGAATCCCGCTGCGGAATCAGAATCGGAATCTCTCTCTTCCGGGACGCCCATCTGAGCTCGAGGCTGGAAAATTAAATATACATTACAGTACCAGGCAATAAATATTGCACATCGATCGTGCGAAAGAGACGGTTAATTTTTGCTTCGTAGAGCGTTATATCAGTCGCACATCACCTAATTGACATTTAGTCTCCATAGACACCGGATCGTTAGTGTTTCGTCGCACACAGGTAACGCTCTACAACAAAAACGAAATTAAACGACTGTCTCTTTCTAAATATCGATGTGCAATATTTATTGCCTGGTACTGTACAGTCGATTAGGGGGAATAGGGACAAATCTGGGATGTCATAATACTTTTGTTGAGTTGCTAGATTACACTTTGTTGAGCTGGAAATGACTATTATTTAGTGTTTAAGAATATTAAATAGTTTAATTTAATCATCAGTTTCGTAGCTCATTAAAGATATTAAAAATTTGATTACCTAAAGTTAGGTACCTACCTAAAAACTAGACAGTGCCAGCCCTATCGAAAAACTCTATTGTCTCCATACGTAACCTGATTCACCCCAAAGCTAAGATGAATCGGGTTAAGCTAGTAGTTAAGTTTTTGTGTATATTTTGTAATGAATATACACAAAAATATACGCATGCGTCGTATATAAAAAATTAAACCTCCGGAACAATTTTAATCTCAATTTTATTGGTATTACCCAAAGAAAATTTGTGTTGGAATTGAAAAGGGTTCCGATTCCCCCCAATCTACGGTATTAAATTCACTGATAAGCTGATGAGATAATATTACGTGATTTTTTTTTGCCTATCTAATCGTTGGTAAGCCTAAGGGGCTATTTTAGCTATGCTGCGACGGGAATGTATCGTGAAGTTAGTACACACAATATCGGCACGCGATGTGTCCTCGGATTGTAGGCCAATAATCTGAGTTACATTTGACCTTAAAACGTGAGGTCATATGTTTTATTCGTTTTTCGATTATTCGGTCACCAAAAGGATTAGAATGCAATCGCGCAATCACGCGCTGTAGAACCGAGATATCAGCCGCATTGTATCTATCTCGCTTACATGTAAGATCCTGCATATGTTTGTCTTTTTTTAGTGTCATTAACGTTTAATCTAGTATCAAATGAAATTTTCATTTCAACAAAAAAAACAGGTAGAACCATCCATTGCGGATTTGTTATCTATGCCTTCAGTGAGAGTTTTTAACTTCTCGATCGCGTAAACGTTAACTCATATTTGTATGGAGTTGAAACCTTTGCCTACGTTTGCCGCTAGGGGCACTGCATTCTCGAATTCTTTACCTGATCGGGCGTGGAAGGAGTGCTGCGACTGTGGGCAGCTCCTACGCCGCGACGTCCCGTGGCTCCCCTGCGTCGTACTTTACTACTCATTGGCGGGGGCATTAACTTGTCATCCTTCTAGAACAATCACAATTAATTTCCATCATTCAATGAACCGTTCGTGTGATCGCGGTAATGTTTCGAACTGTCTAAACAAATATAGGAGTGATCCATCACCGGCTTACAGTTAGATTTTATTAACATTTAAAAACATAATTATGCGTTTCGGTTTGAAGGGTAGGGCAGCCGTTGTAACTATACTTGAGACCTTAGAATTTTATCTCAAGATGGGTGACGCATTTACGTTGTAGATGTCTATGGGCCCCAGTAACCACTTAACACCAAGTGGGCTGTGAGCTCGTCCACCCATCTAAGCAATAAAAAAAAAAGTAAAAATGTTCATGATTCTGATTTGCTGCTGAGGATAATGATAATGCGCTAAATTTCTGATACTCGTAGAATCAATAATATTTAAATAATTTATTTGATGGACAGGCTTTGTCGTTTCTGTCGTGACGAGATTTAGCACGCTTCAATCGTAAATCATTAATCACCATACGATTATCATATCGTAATGTTTACCTGCAGAAAATAATAAAATATCCGATTGTTTTAAAGACCTTTAATTAAATATTAATCAGTTTTTATGGAAGCCTTTTACATATTTTTTTGTTTCCTCCACTTTTTGTCAATGTCATCTATAATTCTTCCTTTTCTTTTCCGACTTCCTTCAAATAGTTTGATGTCTTTCTACATACTCCTGGTAGTGGTCTTTTTAATTGCCAGTTTCATACGTTTCAAAATTCCTAGATCGCCTACTGCAGCATTAAAGGGCCGTTTAGATAGATATTAAGCTACAACAGTATTTCGAGGTTATATTGTGCTCATCACTACTACAAGTGGAGTACGCAAGTGTATTTTGTTTGTAATGATCATGTGTTGTTTAGGGCAAGAGTTAGATTGATAGGAAAAATAAATCTCGATTGTTAATGTCGTTTAAAATAGATACCATAGGAACCGCTGAATGACGTAATGGAATGGAATAACGTAATTTTTTTAAAGTTCACACGTGTATCGCACAAATCGATTTAAAACGTATCGATTGTAGAAGTCGTCTTTCGAATTCTGATGAGAAATTTAAATCGAGACGAACGGGGCTCTCAGCACTTGAATCTCGAACCATAAATATTTGTTATTTATTTTTATTGCTTATATGGGTGGACGAGCTCACGGCCCACCTGAAGTTCAGTGTGGAGCCCATAGACATCCACCCACCTTGAGGTATGAGTTCTAAGGTTTCAGTTTTTGCAGTACAACAGCTGCCCCACCATTCAAACCTTCACTGAGTGTCAGTAGTGCTTCACGACAGAAATAGGCTGGGTGGTGGTACCTACCCGTGCGGACTCACTACACACCACCAGTAATGTAGAAACATTTTTACATTTTTCCAATAAACGTGCATCGACTTCTAATATCTACGTAATCTCTCTGTGATTCACGCACAAACAGCGTGTTTAATGGTCTGTCATCAAAAAAGTATATTTAAAGAAAGATAGATTAAGATTCAATATACTAATACGTGAAGCAAAAACTTTGTACCCCTTTTTAAGAAAATTGCGCAGATATATAAAATTACTCACACCTATAGAAAAGGAGTGCAGAATGCAATTTTTTTTTTTGTAAATTATTCATTAAAAAATACATTAAAACTATAAAAAAACATTACACACACACACCCTTATTTTATACTCTTTTGTTTATTGTTAAATTCTGTGGGCAAATTGAGAATAGATTGTGATTATCGAACAATGATTATTATACAAATGTGTCAATAGAACGATGATAATGTTCGAATTTATAATTTAAATGAGTTATGGTCGACTACTAGGGGACCGCTAGTATTAATAATAAAAAAAGCCCTTTATTCCATGCAATTAATTTTTTTTTTTGTATATTTATGTTATATGCATGTACCCCTCTCAGGTGAAGGCCTCCTCCAAAGATTTGTCCATTTTATTTTGTCTCTGGCGAGTATTAATAACTTACCTGTATATTATCAGCAGAGCCCCAGGTCTTGTGAAGTTCGCCGTCGTCGGAGCGTCTTTCGTCGCGTTCCCGAGCCGATTTCGGCATGTACGCGGACGACCTCGTCGCACCAACACCGAGGAAATTACTGAAGGCCTCCGTTGTTTTTTTAACGCGAACGTTGAGCGAACCGATACGAAGGAAGCCCTCCTTTTCTGAAAACCGATCCGGCATTTAAGGGCGGATCGCACCACGAAGTTATTTAACACGTTGACTGCCGGTGCGCTACGCGGCGCATTGAAGTAATTATGTCGATTTGACAGACTTCAGGTCCATTGTCTCAATTGTATAGTAAATACGTAAATTATATTTTTTTCAGATTTTACTTTTATTATACGTGGAATCGTGGAAGTAATCCGTGAACGTGTATAAAGTACGTATTTAATTAGAAAAAAAAATTGAAACTGCCGAATTTGTACACCCACGTAGTTTGACCACTGAAAACGGGCATTTGAATCATTAAAACAAATAAATCTAATTAGAATGAAATTAATCAAAAGTCAACATTTGGAGCTCCAAACATCAAGTTTGATTTACGAATACAATGGTGCATTGAAATTATTAAAACATCTAAAGTGGTTTACAGTTTTAGGGGGGAAATACTATAAAGTTACAATTAATGTGAGGGACAGCATGAGGACAACCCACATAAAAACAAAAGACGATTACAAACAAGTACGCACACAGAAGGTATACATTTTCCACAGGAGCCCAGTACTACGTGTTACTACAAGGAGATACAGTAATGCGATTCACTTTCTTTATGTTATCTTGTACGTTATTTGCATTCACCGTAGAAATGAATTTTAAAGTAGGATTTAAAACACTTCCAAAAGCGTTTAGAATTTTTCAATATCGTGCCGTCTAGCTACTCGATGGCTTGCTAGCCTATGTTCCGAAAATCGATATACTACATGATGGTTTGCAGCGATTTATAGCTGTTGCTAGAAATTACTTAAACTAATATTATTAGTACCTTACTAATGTTTTGCTTATACTGTTAATTTGTAAGAAGACTAAAATAAATGAATAAATAAATAAACAGATCATAGAGACATTACAATAGCGCGCCCTTCGTGGATCGCGGCAGATATGACCAGAAACGCAGTAGCCATACGAGCTCGTAACAAATATTGCGCATATTATAAGGTATGTACCTAAGGAAATCTTAAAATATCAACAAAAGTCAAGTCTGTCAAAGATAGAAAAAAAATTCCTAACGATCGAAGAAAAATTTAGTTCTCATTGAAAGTGGATCACATTACTGAGTTTAACATTTAGTGTATAGGTGTATATATTATGTAGGTACACAGAAAACCCAAATTTACTGTCAATGTATTTACCCTGGAGGCTATATCGTTTGTCTCTCTTACTCAAAGGCGGATTATATGCGTTTATCACTTTTGCTGTAGGCGGTGCCGTCACTGTACGACACAAATTAAATGAGTCGTGCTCTGGAAAATCAACTCTTATGTTCCACACATTTAGAAAAACAAATTTAAAAAATGTACTGCCCATTTAGAATTTACTTTTACAATTTTCGTCTGGAGCAGATTATTCTAATGTTCGTTAAGTATTTAAAGTTTTACTAGTATACATTTTTATTACGTTTATACTTACTTCTGTATGAGCCGGGCGATAATGACGTATCCATATGGACTAAATATTGCCTTGGTTTCCTTCCAGACCAATCCCGTATGTTGGGATCTGCATCTGAAAATTTACAACAACGCCATCTGTTGGTATAATTACGTACTAAGTTCTATATCAACACGCCGCATAACTCACAATAGTCAACCACCTTAATCTTAATTTTACCGGTAGATGTCACTGCTACAATGTTATTCCTATTTTCCTCGTATCGAGTTTATCATTTTCAAATTGAGAACTTTCAAGACAATCTCTCTCTTGTGTCTCACATGTCTCTCTTTAAAATAAAAGGGCGATATTTAAGTCTGTTTAAGAGCAAGAGCAACATTGTTGTTGAATTTATAATCATTATTGTTGTCTGTGTATTTGTTTTTGTTGTTGTTGTCAAGCCTCTATCATCTTATTCTGCTGTAATGTGGGATGAGGTCTATCTAATATTCTAGTCAGAAGGAGCACCTAGACGGTAAACATAGGTGAGAAAGTGGTACACATCCCATTCTACCTACTTATCACAAGATTACCGGATTAATTAATATAAGATCTTAATAAATACCGTTTCATTTGTAAATGAAGATGACGGTATAGCTGACATCGTAAATTATACATAATAATATATTGGTAATGTTTCAAGACCTACTTAATATTTTCATTTCGCGATTTAGTCTTGTTTGCTTTACGCTTAGGCATCGAAAAGGTCAAATATTTATTTCTAGTGTACTAAATACTAAATACTAAATAATAACATTTTAAAGTTTGATCACCACCCTGTATAACATAGTTTTTTTTTCCGAATACAATGTGTATTTTTTTTTAAGTTTTCTAAAAAACTATTGGATGTTCGGAAAAATCTAACATTTAATTCTATTCGCCGAAATTTAAACATTTCTTTAAGAACTATGTCACCAAACCTCAAAGTAAAATATTCTGATGAAAGATCGACATCCTTAAGGGCGATGTGAACCAATTACTTTTTATTATAATGAGAATTCGCTCGCGGGTAAAACAACGATTATCACGCGATTCGCAATCAAATGTGGAATTCTATGTCCTCAGGTCATAGGTATTATGAATGCGCATTGAATTAGCGTGTAATTACAAATGTGTATTTTACTACGATATTAATAGAACGCCTTATGCAATGCCTTTGAAATTGATTGACGACATCTGAAACATAAGCTCAAGTCGAGTTTCTAGTTCTGGTTGTCCCTTTTTTAATCTCTTAAGACTGTAATTTTCAGTCGCAGTTATCTTATACCTTTAAACGAGTAATCTGAATCTCGGAAACGGCTCCAACGATTTTCATAAAATTTAGTATACAGAGGATTTCGGGGGCGATAAATCGATTTATATAGCTACGATTTATTTTCAGAAAATGTTGTTTTATTCGTGTTTTCAATAATCAAATTTATCGATAATCAACTTTGACTCTTCCAGACATATATTGGCGAATACTATTTGTCTTAATTGAGAGCAACTAACTGCTTTAAAGACAAAACAAGATGGCGTTATAAAAAAAAAACCGAGCGAAGCTCGGTCATCGTCTAGTGATACGTAAGAACCAATCACAGTTCTAAATGTACGATTTGACGTCATTCGATTTCAATACCTCTAACATCGAGGCACTAGTGAATTGAGTCGTATATGCTTCGAAAGAATGCTTGTAGTTGTGTGTTTGTGTTCTATGCATTCCTAATCTATACATCCGATTGTAATGTAGCATGGTGAGGTAGTAGTTGGCGCTTCAGAAAAGGTTTCTGCTTTAGTATCAAGATCATACGTTGCGACTGACAGAGCTCTGTGGGCTTTGGTAGGCGCTTTAACAACGGAATCACGAAATAACCCGGTCCCTCAAAAACAAAACAAAACACAAACGGCGAATTTAAAATCAGAATACGAGTAACATTCCGCCAAAGACCTTAATTTTTCCGTGTACCCAAATGAATGATGACATCATTAATATCATTAATGCTAGTTACGAGAAAACCCGCGCCAATGGTTTTACCGTGAAAACATTAAAAAGACCTAATTTATTTGGATTGATGCATCGGTTGTGATTAATGAAAATTATCACATTTAAAATACTTCCACGATTTTAATTTAAAAATATATTCAACAAATCATAAACCGTGGTAGATAGTAATAGAATACCTAGTAGTACCTAGTAATTTTAGAGTAACAAGTAGTATTAGAGTACTAAACTAACAATAGTCTTACCATATACTTCGACTAGTAGCCGGTAAACATGCTCGTGTCGAAATTGCATAGCAATGTGTAGCGGCGTGTATCCCTGTAATATCAAATTGTTTTAAAGGACATAGGAATGAAAAAGTATCCTTGAAAATACAAATAGTCTTTTCGCATTAAAAGTGTACAATTTCGAAAAATATTCCAAAAATTGAGTTAATATGCGGAATCATTTGGTTTCACTAGTAGTTTTTCTCAAAAATACTATCAAAAGAGCGTAGTTTAGTTTTAGTTTACCTTTTTTTTGACTACTATTAACAAAATTAATACATAATCTTATCTTACTTTAAAAGACAGATAATGTAACTGGTAAAAAATAAAAAATAAATGTTTCAAAGACGATTAATATTTAAAATATCACATTTTAAGCCTTTAAAACAATCTCCTGTAAAATTATAATAGTAAGTTTTGAGATTACACAGTTTTAATGCGAGAAGACGGAATATGGTTAAATAGCCGATCCGAGTACGATGAAAATAACTATGGAAACAGTTTGCCCTCTTGTATAGAATACCTAGTCCAGCCATAAGTTCTGTTACAAATGAAAGTGCTTTTTTTTAAATGAAGTAATGTAATATTATTAAAATTTATACCTACATATTTACTAAAGAATCAGCAAAAAAAAAATTATATTCGAAATGGCCACCTTTGGCTTTTTTATACAGAACTTTAATCTGTTTGGCCACGAATCTGTGGATTCACGCACTGTTTCCTAGGGAAATTTCGCCACTGCTTGCTCCAAAGATTTTTTAAGAGACTCAATGTCGCCGTGTCGTTTAGAGCAAGCCATGTCCTCTAAAACTGACCATAATTTGAAGTCTAAAGAGTTGAGGTCTGGGCTAGATCTGGGCTATCATCAGTTCTTATAAAATCCGGAACGTTGGTTTCAAGCCAGGCTTGGGTAGATCGTGCCTTGTGACCAGGTGCAAAGTCCTACTGAAAAGTCCACGGTATATTTTTAAAAAGTGTATTGTTGAGACATTTCACAACATGATCCAAGACTGTATCTTGATACACTTTGGCTGAAATTTTCACTCCTTTTTCACAAAAATGTAGTTTTGTGACTCCTTGATAAGACATGCCCCGCCAAACCATCCCTGACGCAGGATGATGACCACGTTGTACCTTTCCGACCACTTCAGCAGCTTATTTAAAACCGTGAGCGTACATTTTATTATTTTGCTTAATGTAGTGTTCTTCGATCGTGAAAAATTTTTCATCGGTAAAGAGGATGTTTCTGTACCTTTCACCTACGTATCGCAACAGAAGGGCGTTTTGATAGATCCACTTTCTTTAATTGTAAAGATTGATTTAGGGCATGTCCTGTACATCAGGTCTTATTTTATAATATGCGACACAGTCCTTCATTTCTCGCGATAAGATCTTTTGCTACCTAATGGGGTGTCAACGAATTCTGGCTTTAACAGCATTAACAGCCTTAGTAGTTCTAACAGCACGCGGCCGCCCCGATTTTTTCTGGTCTGCGACAGACGAAGTGTTGTTGTATCCGTTGATAGTACGATACACGAATATACTGTTGATACCAAGTTTTTGAAGCATCTGGAATATAACCGACGGCTCCATACTCCCTTTGTGCAAGGCGATCACTGCAATCCTATTTTCTTTAACACCCCATTCCATATTGTAATTTGATAATGAACACGTAAAAGTATGTGAAATGGCGCAAAATCGAAAGAAGTTTTTCAAATAATATACGTCTTCCAAATTCAAAATATTTAAAAAGTTAAAAAAAAAGAAAAGTTTTTATGTAACAGTATTTATGGCCAGACTAGTTACAAGTTACGAGCAACGATAATCGGACCGTCGGTCTACCGAGCAATATCACCAGCTCGGTGGAAGATCTTTCTTTCGTCGTTATACCTACAGGCACAGCCCATGAAAGTCGCAGACGGTAACCCCTCACAGTCAGATGGTCAATTATACAAGTTTTCGAAACGATGACACAGAGTAACGTTTTGTGATACTCTAGAGCAGTGATTCTCAACCACTGTTCCGCGGCACTTTTGTGTGCCGCCAAATTTTGCGAATATATAATATGGTTAATATTATTAAATATTTTAAACATGAATATAATATATTTAAATCCACAAAAAAAAAATTATAGTATATTGTAGTTTATTTCGTATATTAAAATTTTTTGATAAACTATTTATGCAGTGTGTTGTATGTAGTAAGTAAATAATTTTTATCTTTTTTTTTTGTGTGCCGCCAAATTTTGAATTCGTTAAATATGTGCCGCAACAAAAAAAAAAGATTGAGAATCACTGCTCTAGAGAATTGCTTGTATTTATAACTGGAATTACAAGTAGTGAACTGTAGAAGGGCACACATCTGCGCCTAGCACCGCTACGTTCGCTAACAGACTCATATTGAACCTACATATTAAATTTCGATATTGCCGAATACAATATGCGTCACCTGTAACATAAAATACAGGGGGTTTTCGTCTAACGGTAATGTCCCTGAATACGAAAGAATATTTTATACTAATATTTCTTGAATAACGCAATGTAACACAAATTACAAATCAGCTGACACGCGTAGTGCACTATCACAAGATACGAAGAAACGGTTTTCGCAGATTACAGGTTTAGTAAACATAAACTTCAAGCGAGAAGTTTCCAAGTTTAGCTTATCAATTGAATATAGTCCTAGCTTTTTTTTTTTTAATTGCCTATATGTGTGGCCGAGCTCACAGCCCACCTGGTGTTAAGTGGTTACTGGAACCCATAGACATCTACGACGTAAATGCGCCACACACCTTGAGAAATAAGTTCTAAGGTCTCAGTATAGTTACAACGGCTGCCCCACCCTTCAAACCGAAACGCATAACTGCTTCACGGCAGAAATAGGCGGGGCGGTGGTACCTACCCGTGCGAACTCACAAGAGGTCCTACCACCAGTAAAAAAGCTACTGTTTAAAAAAGTTTTTCCGCCAGCGGTTCTTTAAACTTTAAACAAAAACTAAATCAAATTTACTAAATATTAAATGCCCTAGAGATATAAATTTTGTGAATTATACATTACCGGTTAGCATAATGCACGAATATAGATAACAACAAATTCAGTTGCATAAGAAAACTACTTACCCCGTTCTGTTTCCATCGACGACGGCATGTATCGGGCACCACATGAAAAATAACGTAATCACACTTCAACAGGATACTTAAAACCTGTTAAGTTAACACGAAATAAAAGCGTTCGTACATTTTAAACCTTCTTAGTAAAATGTTTATTGCGCAATTTCAGTGACCAGATTCATTAGTTTGACCCATTACTTTGCCTTTAAATTTGTATGTAACACATATGTATGTTCTTTTTTGTTACTGCCTAGTTGATACGTTGTTGCTATCTATACATATAAATAAAATTGGAGTGTCTGTTTGTAATATTGAAATAGCCTCTTTTACTACATGCATATGAATATATACATACACCAAAATAACATTTTTTACAATTTTTGTCTGTCTGTGTGTATGTCTCTCTGTTTGTTCCAGCTAATCTCTGGAACGGCTGGACCGATTTTGACGAGACTTTCACTGATAGGTAGCTGATGATATAAGGAGTAACTTAGGCTACTTTTTTAGACTAGCTTCGCCCCGCGGTGTCACCCGCAGTTATTGTCATATCGCGAGCATCATGGTGAGATTCGCCTATCAATAATAAAATGCGGGTCGCTAGTCGTAAATAAAATGAAGTCAGTATTTCAATCGTTGCATGTACCTTAAATTGGTGCACGATTGAAATTCAACATTAAACAAAGAGTATTTTTCTGTGATCTTTACCGATTGCGTATCCTTTGGCTTTGGTTTTCCGAAAGCCGGTCTGAGAAGTAGAGCATTTGTAAAATTTTAATTTAATTCTAATCTTAAATTATAAACGTATACATGAGCACACGCAAAACTGTACAAAATATATGAAGCAAAGTCGAAATTGCGACTAATATATATGCGTGTATTGGCACGTGTTGAGCTGTATGTACCCACCGAACGTTCGTTGACAACATGCCTAGCGACTCCTCCTAGCAATTTCACCAAATTTTCATCGCCCCGCTTACAGGCCCAATGCATCGCAGTCTGAAATAAACGAAATCCTATACTGAACCGGCGACCACGTCGTCGAAAGATTTAATTATAAATAAACTAGCATATTCCAATTTAATCACAGTGTAATTTTGTGATCGATGCCAAATAATGGAGCCAAATATTCAGAGCCTTAGATCGAAAAACGTTTCGACCACGAAAAGAGTTTAGTAGGTCGACGAACAAATTACTTGATTGCGGGTCTTTTATTTTTATATATGTAAAACACTTTGATGGACAATATAATGCCGAAATTATAGCTCTTTATAATCGGAACGTATTAGGATGATTTGCATCCAGATTAAAGATTATATTTTGGTGAAGGTGGATGTTATTAGCATAGTTATATGAATTAGCGTGCCATCATCGTTGGTCATTTTAATATTCAAAGCTTCGTAGCAAGTAAAGTATAATTTTAAGGAACCGTGTTTTAGATAAATGTTGAGTTTAACCGCCGGTAATAGTTAGCAATTTCGGCATGTTCGACTAACTGTTTCGATTAGATAATAATTTGAATGTAAAATTAAAGCGCCGATACTTGTTTGCGTATTGACGTCATACGGTTTGAAAAATAAATAAATCAAACTATAGTACTTTTATTTTCAATATCGCGTCTTGTATTCCGAAATCGTATCGCGATCAAAACACGACAATTTCAAATGTACCGGAAAATTAAATTCGTCGTTCCGGTCCTTCGCATGTTTCCTCGTCGGATTCGCGGCCGCAGACTCAATAAAATTTACACCTTAGCCGAGTAAGATTTTCAGACGGCCGCGTTGTAAGTCACTCGAATATATATTACTTTATCCGAGGTGAGGGTACGAGTTACGTAGCAATCGTCGTATGTACAAGATGTAGGCGTGATCGTCGCTGATTCAGTGGGGTAGTTAGTGGCGGGCGGTCCCAGGTTCGACGTCGCTCGGAGAAATATTGGCCCCAAGGGAAGCTCTGTTAATTTGCAGCGCACATTGGGTACAGGCACGATTTTCCATGTATCTATCTACCTACACAAAAGCTGCGTCGGAATAGATACGGGAATTTCGTTTTAGTTCATTGTTGAATATACGAATATTCTCAATAGTGCGCCTTCGTAAGCCGTTTAGTGCGATTAACCTACACTATCTGCCGGCTGATAAACATTAAAATGAAAGATATAACGTTTAGATAACGACTATATATATTTATTTAGCTGGTATTTTGTTAACAAAGTCCAACGTTTACCGGCTAATTAGGAGTGCACTTTGTTACAGAAGCCAGAGGGGCTACAAGTAAACATATTATTATGAATGTTTATAACGGCTGTAATTTACAAGTAATTAAAAATACTTACATACTGCATGTTGCATGCGTTCACACCATCGGCGAAACAGTCGGCGCACGCGGGAACAAAGCAAAATGAAAAAAAGAAAAAAAAAACGAAATATGTATTAAATAACTTGTGAGGGTTTAAACACAAACGTCGGAATTATTTAAGAAGATAAGGGTCTTGTGATAGTTAAAATAAAAATCTCATTAAGGCGACGTTTCCGGGTCAGCGGGCTAGAGAATTTACAAATTTATTGTCGGCTAATGTAATAAATTTAAAACAGGATTACGTGGTCGGTGCACAAAGCAAAGCTGTATAATTTGCCCGATATAAATCTTCTGTCTCCGTCAAACGAATGACTTAATCACTTAAGATGGAAAGACAGGATCGTGCTTTATATGGATGTTTTCTCAAATTCGGAACTCGGTGGGTGCTATGATTTCGATTAGTCCTTTTAATAAATATATTATACTAAAATTATATTAAAACGTATTCAGGAACATCAGTTGCTTATAAAATAAAACTCAATAGGTTACAACAATTATTAAATGAGTTCCCTTGCTACGCTCCAGTAAGCTTTTCCAGGATATTAATGTCTTCGTAAATTTATTGCAACTTAACAATAGTATTCGTATAAAAGTATCGTTTACATTAGAACGAGGAGTTCCATCAATTTTGTTATTCTTTGAAACAAACGAAAGGCAACTTTAGGCAATTTAAAAGACAATAAATTGAACTTCCGTCCACTTAAGTGTAAATTGTCATAGAGTATTTTATTTTAGGCTTTTAAAGAGCAATGTTGTGTTCGGTGACCGGTCATCCGGCGTTGGCGCAACGTGCTAAGTCGCTTTACTTCACTTACGTCGAATTCACACCGCATATAAAAATACATTCACAGAGAGACGGACCGAACACAAAATGTTTGTACGTTTGCTAACGTTTCTAAATTCGACACGGAAAATGTGTTTGTACCAAAAGGAATTGAAGGAATTTATTTCGCTCCAAACGGATATAATAACGTTTGTGGAATCGTTGAGTATAGTCAGTCTAGTTAAGTATTATTAATTTAAATGGAATGTTAATGTTTGAATTTATATTTTTAACTATTTCGTCATGTCTACTCGTTCTAATTCTTGACCGTCCAAGAAGTACATAGCATTCTAAACTATAAACAATAATTTATTCACGTCATTAGACAGAGCGTTTTATATATGTTTATTATCGGTGAAAACATTATGCGTTCCTATTTCCATATAAAATTCACCTTTAATAGTAGGTGGTAACACAGTAGTCATTTCCATTCTCATATTCTTTTCAAAGTGTACCTACTAACTGCATTAATTATGTTCTAATTATCGATAGCCCTGTATGTACCATGAAAGCACAAGTTTCACAGTAAATCTGACCAGGATATATATATTTATTTTATTCGCACTAAGCCTAGACATTTTGATAGCTCTTAGTGTTTTTTTAGTTTACGGTAACGCTATTTATTTTGAGACAAATATAATGTTTATAATGATTCCAGGCGCATTGTATACATAATAATGTGGCTTTGTCGTATTGATTGCGTTTGCATGTACATCAATTAGGATGCGTGGAACGATGCGTCTTCCGCGCTACTAATTATCCTCTTGTCAACTTGCTTACGTGCGTAATTACGTATATAGTTTGACACATGCTCCAAGCCAGGCAGAAGGTTTATTTTGTGGGTGAACTTCGAGAATTTAATTTTTTTGAAGTGAAAACTTCTTTAGAATCGTTGTGATTTCAAACCGGATGCAACGGAAAAAACGACAGGTAAGAGACACAAATACAAAAATGTGTAGGATGAAGCCAGCAAAGAATGAGACAGAAATATACATACTATTTAATACAGCGCCATCTGTGAGATTTTTAAATACTAACGTGTGTATGAAAGCTCTTGTAGTGAATTTTAATTTAGGATTATACGTGAAATTAAAATATCAATTCACAGAGGGCGCTACCTTACAATTATTTACTAATGACAAAATTTTACATATACTTAAGACGTTTAGGATAATTGTTTAATTTTGGAAGGTTTCACTTCTACCACGTGTGAATTCACACATTTTGTTTTTTTTCTTAAAGTATTTTGTTTGATGTCCTTTCTCTAGGTTAAGTAAATAGAGAATTTCTGTGTAATATTCAAGATAGGCAGTCAATAATAGTGACAGGATTGTTGATGTATATTGTGATTGTTTGGACTATAGACAATTTAACAAAAAAATATTCAACGTTACTTCAGCTGAAAGATTTTTATTCTTTCTCGTTTAAAGTTGATTGCAGTTGATTACAGTGAAAAAAAATTATAATTTGCGTAATTACTGGTGGTGGGACCTCTTGTGAGTCCGCGCGGGTAGGTACCACCGCCCTGCCTATTTCTGCCGTGAAGCAGTAATGCGTTTCGGTCTGAAGCGTAGGGCAGCCGTTGTAACTATACTGAGATCTTAGAACTTATATCTCAAGGTGGGTGACGCATTTACGTTGTAGATGTCTATGGGCTCCAGTAACCACTTAACACAAGTTGGGCTGTAAGCTTGTCCACCCATCTAAGCAATAAAAAAAAAACAAAAGAATTGAATTGAACTTGGACAAAGTGATTGTGACGGGCAAAGTAGAAGAAAAGAGACCCCGCGGCCGATCACTTAGCCACTGGTGTGATCAAATAATCACCCTAACTGGGCTGCCATTCGCAACCACCATCCGAAGAGCTGAGGACCGGACGAGGTGGAAACAGCTCACGAGACAGGCCACGGTCAAGTTTCAAGAACACGACCTTCAGTATTGAAGAAAGCGACGAAGAAGAAGCAGTGGAAGCTGTGTCGAATTAGATTCAATTTTTTTTTAAACGCTCTGTTTCAGATCTATTTGCTGCGCTGACAAAACAACATATTATGTAGGTAGGTAGAATATTAATTTGACAATATGACAGTAACTAGCAAAGCATGACAGTAAGCCATTAATGAAATACGACGAATTTGTTAAATTAAAAACTAAACTCAAGGCATGTTCAATTTTTTTTTTGTCTTCATTTTTTTTTTTGCTGATCCACTTCATAAGGCTATTTTACTTTAGTTAAATAAACAAATTTAAAGCAATATTTTTGGTAATTGCGGGTATTTTTAAAAAACGAAGGTGCGTTTTGAAGGTATGTTTTAGCAGTAGAAATTAGCACAGAATTTAACTACGAATTGTTTTCAACATTCGCGGCTATCTACATTACGCACACGGTTATTTCATAGGGTTCTTACCACGAAATACAAATTTAATGTACCTGCAGTTAAACTATTTCTTAAAAAAAGATATACCTACTTATACGCTCTCAACAATTGTGTGTTGTCACTTTAATTTTTTTTAAATCAACTGTCAATGGATAATTAAAATCAACCCGCGCTATTAATTAGACATTTAGAACATATATTTATGCGCTACTATCAATTTTGTTCTCTCTTTGAAAAAAATTTGAAAACGACTGTTAATGGAAACTTAAAATTAGGCTTATTCATGAGGCAGCCATTTAAATACTCTGAAATGGTGGTTATATATCACGCATTAAATTAGATGGACTAACATAAATATTATATTTTAAATTTCGGACTTTTCGGATACCTACAAATGTCATGGTCACTGAGTACTCCCTGATATAAATAAATAAATAAATATGCGATTCAAACCGAACAAAATACCTACTTTAATAGTTGGTAAAGATAATATTGACCTTTTTTTGTCTCTACCTATTTGCTGTTGGTAGGTTAAAGGGTTATTCCAGGTTCACGCGGATAGGAACATTGACCCGGAAACGTCAGAGAACATCTATTCATTTCTTTCACCCTGATCAACTGATAATAAACTCGGAGTCATTATTTCTGATGTACGGAGGACAGGCCGTCATTGTGAGTAAAATTAATAATTTATAAATTTACAAATTCATTGCTTTGATAAAAATTAAGCGAAAATGTCAATGAATTGACTTAAAATGCAAAAAAACTAATTGTAATTTTTTAACCGTTTGATTAAATTAAATAAAAATATAATTATGTTAGATAGTTTACTTACACCCTGTGATGAAACGAAGCAGCATCAGGTACCGGTAATGAAAAACAAAGAAAAACATTTTTGTTATCAATAAAATAATCAACCTACAAACTAAAAATAATAATTTATCTCACTATAAATACCGCATTACTTCTCATTGAAATTGAATTACATAATGTTATTTTAATTCGAATACTAAGGGTTTATTTAAAAAGAAAAACTATCATCAGAGGTATTTGTGATTACTACGATTTTCTTTTATTTATTTCTAACACTATATTGTATTATTAAGACGTTGACTTCCATGTATGCCAGTGTTGCCCTAGGTAGCGCTTTGAAGGAATGATGTCGATTTATTATGATACTATGTTTTATGTTATTTATGGCTAGAACAGACTGCCCAAGATCGATGGATATGGAAGAATTTGACTCGAGCCCTATACCTCAACTTAGGGTAATAGGAAAGAAAGAAGAAGAAAGGCGCCGGAATATCTAGTAAAGTCTGGGAAAGACGAATCCGAAGATACTGTGAATGAATTTATTTTTAAGAGAACTAAGACTAAATCATACATTAACAAACAAAAGAAGGCAATGTTAGGCATTCCGGGCGCTTAGTAACACACTTTTACTGGACCTCTTGTGAGTCCGCACGGGTAGGTACCGCCCTGCCTATTTCTGCCGTGAAGCACTAATGCGTTTCGATTTGAAGAATGGAGCAGCCGTTGCAACTATACCGAGACCTTGGAACTCATGTCTCAGGATGGGTGGCGGCATTTATGTTGTGGATGTCTATGGGCTCCGGTAACCACTCAGCATCAGGTGGGCCCTGAGCTCGTCCACCCACCTAAGCAATAAAAAAAAACTTCAGTTCGTCACGTAGGGCACCGGTGACCTACATAGCAGTCAACATGTTAACAAAAACCTGTAACATATTAAACTCTCCTCAAATATTAACTTCTTTTTTTTCCTACCTATGCTGATAGCCTTGACAGGCTATATCAGCTTCGCCCTAACATGTAGGTGGACTCACGGGGCTCAAGCCGGAGTGATGCTAATACAGGCCCTAGCAAGAGCAGTGCTTCGCAGAATCTACCATCAGATCGGAAACGCGATCCACTGAGAAAATCCGGCAAGAAACTCAGTGGGCTGTGTCTATGGGTCAATTCGCTCACCGAGCCCTTCGTCGCAAGCGACGGGTTCGACGAGGACGGTGACCGGTGCTTGTGGTACCTAAAGGCACCGTTTATAGATCAGGAGGATCCGTAATGACGTGTTTTGGGCGACGACGACCGTTTACCATTTGGTCTACAGGATCGGGTATGGAATATTGACGGGACTTGACGGACGTATCAACGTCGAAATCAGTGCTTCGGCTATTACAATATATCCAAGCTAGAGGTCATCGGGTAACAAACAGTACTTAAGAAACGAATTGCTCGAGACTTCGAACTCATACTCTTCTTTTTCTTCACCTTATCCCACTAGTTGGGGTCGGCGCAGCTAATTTTTCTTTGCCATTCTCTTCTATCAGCCGTCAGCTCAACACTCACTCCTCTCTCTCTCACATCGTCATTCACACACTCCATCCACGTCTTCTTCGATTGACCCCTTCCCCCTCTACCTTGCACTACCATTTTCATACATCTCCTAGTCACATGCATCGAACTCACACTAGTATCACGATTTAAGTACGGGCACTTTCTTTCCATATATTACCTGTGACCTTATGAGCATTTAAATTACTTAACTAAAAATAAAAAGTAGAAAAAATATTTAGAGCTAGTTAAAAACAATCCTCATTACAGTGTTGTGTGACAAATAAATACTACCTTTATGTGCGTTGTTATGTAATTTCCACTAAAAAAGTTTTTTTCCTTGCTGTTTACCGAAGCTAATATTCAAAATATTTATTAAGCTCCATAACATGCCGCGTAATTACTGCCTTCGTCCGGTGATTACAATATGTCGTGTCTATGTAAACTTACCGTAAAAGGATCCTGAAACAACAACAAAAATATGTAGAAAAAAAAAAGAAACAACATTAGCACGTCACAACATTGATTGCACACGTCACGTATGTATTACTTAATCTTTTCAAAATGAAAATCACTAATACAGTATATTTCGCACCCTTACGATTAAAGTGGCTTAATCCGAAATTCTCATTTTTAGGTGAACCACAAAAATTAATTGATGAATTGTCATTTTTTTGTTTTTCGGTTATAATACTTTAAGGTAAGCGCTTAAGAGACGGAAAGAGTACGTCTGTTCTTTTCTATACTAATACTAATATATATTATTTGTTTGTTTGTTTGTTTCGAATAGGCTCCGAAACTACTGGACCGATTTGAAAAATTCTTTTTCCATTAGAAGCCGACATTGTCCCTGATGAACATAGGCTACCTTTTTAAAAAAAAAATTTTTTTTTTTTTTTGTTTCATGTGTGTTTTAATGTTTCCGAAGCGAAGCGAGGGCGGGTCGCTAGTCTGGAATAAAAGAGACTCTTTAATTTTAATAAACTCATAGAATGCAATATGTTCATTGGTCTATTGACGTATAAAGCTCATTTTCTTAAAGTATTTAGTTAAGCCATTTCAATTCTAGAGGTGCGATTTGTTGAAACGCAGTTTGATAGTGTAAATTAGAATGCAACAGTTTTTTTTTTGACAACTCTACACGCCATACTCTGTTCGAACTCACGTTATACTAATTGGTAACATACAGAGTTCACAACCTCAAGGCCGCTACCGACGTAGAGACTTCTGAGGTCGTAATGTTAATTGTGTTGTAATACCTGATGTCTCAATACTTCGATACGATGGTGGACTCGACCCATGCGAACTCACAACAGGCCCTATCAACGATTACGCATAATTACGCTTATTTTTTGTTCACTTTAATTTTAAGACAATATGATAAATTATTCTTTCCTCGGCAAATATTTTATGAAAAAACGTTAGGTGGCAAATGTTTGGTAAAAGGAATCTTTTTAGTTCCGAACCGTTGGGAGATTTAGCGTGACCCCGCTCATGCTAGTACAAATGGTTGCAAATCCTCTCAGGCTGAATCCCGTGAGTTCGCCTACTCGTATATATATACCCTATAAGCTACTGTTCATAAGTAAAATTTTTTTGGGAAAAATGGTACCTCCCGTTTGATTTGCGCACCGACATAGTCGCACCACTCAGTACGAACAGTGCCATACCCATAGATAATACACATAAATTAGTTATTGATAAGCAACTCAAGCACTTAACAAATATATTTACGGGCGTCGGCCACTAGATGGCTTCGCTTCGATTAGTTTCTCATTGCTCCTGTTGATAGCAGTAACAAATTACCTATCCTATATTTTATTTTTAATGAAAGATTTTATACATTTTCAGAAACCGCAAATTGATAAAATTTAATAAATTTGTCTACAATAAATAAAGACTTGTATGATTTGTTATTTTCTGTGTTTAGTGATACAATAATTAAATACTTTAACTTTAACAACATATAAGTTTAGGGGCATCCGCTACAAGATATCGCTAGTTTCCATACAAAATAAGTATTTGTCTTAAAGTATCGCAGTTTCAGAGCCCTGGTCGTACCGATAACTTTTATGACGGTTTCATACCTACTTTATACGAATAGTACCCGAGCGAACTAAAATGACTACAAATGTTATATTATACTCTGATAAAACCATTTGTAGCATTATTCGTGTTCAATGCGTTCGTGAGAGTCTTATCTGATCGAGTTTAAGCTTTGTAGTTGTAAGTACGAAAGGTGACAAGCGAGTCGTTTCCAAAAACGCGTATATTACAAAATATTAGCGTTATTTACAGCGAAACTTGTAAATTACGTGTAGGTTGTTTGTGATTCAATCATCCCTACGGTAGTTTAGTTTCATATGATATCACAAGCATAACTGATCCTTTTTTTTAAGCGAAGATATAATACAATTTTACAGAGAAATAACATTTCTCTGACTCCGCTCTCACGCTTCGACATGAGCAAAACAAAAGAGATTCAAGTTTCGGAAAAATATCCATAATGTACGACGACGCGTAAGACGTTCCCGGCACCGAATTACCTACTAAACTGTAAAAAAACGTAGACGAAAGCGAGGGCTCTGCATATTCCCATGGCCGGGAGAGGATTCGATAGGGCTTTAATACACCCATAATCGTCGTTCGACGATGGACCATATGAAATATGTAATACCGCTAATAGGTCTCCGTGTGTAGCTTCCTCAGCGGTCGCTCGACCAATTTCGCCGTTGGTAATAACTTTAATATCCCATCAATGCGAAGCCTGGTGCATGTACAGAGACGGGACTCGGTAATGACTGCGATTCAATGTCCATACGTTTGGAACGTATGTACCTCACATCTATCTATACTAATATTATAAAGAGGAAAGATTTGTTTGTTTGTTTGTATTGAATAGGCTCAGAAACTACTGAACCAATTTGAAAAATTCTTTCACTTTTTGGAAGCTACGCTATTCCCGAGTGACATAGGCAATAATATTTAATGAAAAAAAATTAGGGATCCTTACTAGAACTCTAATGTAATGTAACCCAAGGTGTAAAAAAATACCTAAAACATTATTTACATCGCGTGCCCTGCGAAAATTATTAATGATAGAATAAAATAATGTACTACGACTTTATAGAACACATTATTATTTACAAAATGTGTCGCGACAGCATATATGTCTAACTATTATAGTTATGCCGCAATAAGTGTTCTTTTATTTAAAAAAATAAAACAACGTTGATGTTTTTGTTAAAGACCCGAGCGGAGCCTGAGTGGGCCGCTAGTTTATTTAATAAATCTGACCACAGCTAGCACTTATTATTGTGTTAAAACGGTTTACTTTTAATCATTACGAGTGTTTCGGTTAAAGAAATAACAAATGTTGTGTTAACACGTTCGGCCGATGAGAGATGTAATTTGAACAAATATTTGTCACGTGCACCTTACAAGACACAGATAAACAATTACGAACAGACACGGAGACGAGAACAGAAATTTTAAAATGTAACAACAAACAGCTTGCTCGGGTCGAAACAGTAAAATCAAACAAAATCATACGGAGAGGCAATTAAAAACGACCATAATTAATCTCAATCAACAAAGTTCGCGGCAATAAACAATCACTCGTCGAATGTCATTTTCGAGAAATGTGTGTCGCGGTCGTGAATGACAAACTTGCAGGGTTATAAGCATGGTGAATGTGGATTCCTAAAATAAAAGGCAATTTATTATCGTAAGCATTGCAGACGCAGTGACGCAAACATTTGTCGACAGTTATTAAGCGCTGGAGCGCTACATCGAGTTGGAGAGGGTGAACATGACACCGACTGCACAGTACGTACGGACGAGGATATTGTCACGCCGATTGTATTCCGAAGCGTACTCGTGTATCATTACAGTACTGTCTTGTAATTAATCAAACCAAACCATAACGTTTACGCAATAAACTAAATTTTGATAATTTAACAGCTTGGTAACTTAAGTTCAATTATGACCATTAAATACGCTAATGCTTTATAGTAACTAAATTTGTTTTCGGATTAAACCTGTAATTATGCACAAATGTATTATAAAGAACCGTTCACCGGCGGTCGTAAAGGCGAGGCAGCGACTTTGATCGTCCGTCCGTGTCCTGCGAATTGCACGAAGTACGTACACACAATCGAGTGCATAATTTTTAATGTGGCCCTCGTGGTGAACGCTGAATTTAATTGTGGACGTTAACGAGTGCACCCCGTGGATACGTCCTTAATAGAGCGTTGTGTCTCTTCGTTTTGTTTGAACGTTCAGTGACTCTGTTATTTCGGAGCGACTAATAAATTGCGTGATGACAGGTGTCAGCTGCTCGACCGCCTCTGCACTCTTGCGTCGATGTCTCATTCCTCACGTTCTACTCCTAAATTCTCTTATTTTATCAGCGCTCCGTTCAATTTTCGTTTCGTTCCTTCATCGTAGGTACACTGTTTGTTTGTATTGCCGTTATCACTATTTTCGCGAATGCATATCGACGCTTGAAAGGCAAACGTGACTCAGCGACAATGCGTGAGCTTTACAGTAGACTAATTTAAAGTTGAAATACCTGAAAGAAAATTTATTTTAACGAATCCAGCTGTAGGATTGAATGATTATTAATAGACCTAGAAATATATATTTTTTTGCGCATCGAATATGGTTATTGCCTATCGTTTATGTACAAAGCAGTTATTGTCGCTTAGTCACGTTTGCCTTTCAAGGGTCGATATGTACATCGCCTTCACAATTATAAATATGTTTACAGTAAAAAGCTTAAGTAGATTTAGAGATGTACTATTTCATTTATCGTTGACGAGAACATTATTAGAAAAAAAAATTAGGTAGATAGATACATTTATAACATCGTGTCTTGATATTTGTGTTTTATTTAGACGTTTATTTTCCTGGAACGAGTTAATTAACGCGATGTGTTATTTAATAAGGCATATATGTTGTCTCCCAAATCATATTCGTACACAAATTAATGACAACTCCCTGGGGTTGTATGTGTATTTGTTCTATGCTTTTAATTAAGAAAACTTTGGATATAAGCTAATTCTAATAGCAGAGAAAAAAAGATATATATTATATGTATAAAATGAATAAATCAAATGTTATTTCTTTTTACTATACTTAATTACAGTAGGGCGTATATAAATAAAGAACGCGCGCCCATTGAGGCGAACTGACCGGGCGATCGCCGCGGCGCGCCTTGTCGTTACACGCAAATGCACTTATCTTACCGGGATGTGAAAAACCGTTTTTAACTCGGTGCCGTCGGTTAGTTGAGCCAACATATCCGACTGAGCGCGGCCTCCGAGTCAATGCCTCTAGAGGTTACGTTTCAACAGGATTTCGAGACCCGAGACAAATAAAAAAAACAAAAAAGTTACAAATCAGTACGGGCCCAACACAGAAACAATAAGGGACAGCGCTTATTTTATTTCATTCTATTG